CAGTAGACTCTGGGATAGCAGAGAAGCAGGGCAGTCAATAGACTCTGGGCTAGCAGAGAGACGGGACAGCCAATAGACTCTGGGCTAGCAGAGAGGTGGGGCAGCCAATTCTGCCATTTCTGGTTTTATTTTTGGAGACCAATATAACCATTGTATAACAGAGTTTTGTTGAAACAGGAGAGCTCATTATTGGGTAAGTAGGGGAGTGGGGGTGGCTGACTGACTTCAGTCCCTCTGAGTTAATATCCCACTCTGCCCCTAGCCTGGAGCCACCAGCACTTCAGCAGGAGAAGCTCCACCTTGTGTCAGCTCTCAGGCATCTGCCCCACCACCTAGCTCAAACCTTGCCTCTGCACTCCCATAGTGGGCCTCTTGCCCTGGGACAATCTTGGAGGTTGCCTGCTCCCAGCGGTGCCTTGAGGGCTTTTCATGGACGAGGCTACCCACTGGAGTTCTTGTGGCCGTGGCCGTGTGAGCTGTTGGCTTGGGTTTGGAGAGGGAGAACAGCTGTGTTCAGAGCTACACAGAGGAACAGAGAGGCTGGGAAGTGGGTGAGTCATACCTGGGTGCCCCTGGCCCTTCCGATCAGGAGGAATATGGAGCTGGGGAGGACGGAGAGCAGGTACGGGTGTGCACGACACTGCATTCCAGCGACTTGGGACCCTCAGCATGATGGTCTCTTTCCCCCAGGTGCTCTTTGCAGTTGCCCCTCTACACTCCTCAGCCTTTTAAAGCACCACTTCTTTTTCTGCCTGCTCCTTTCTCCAAGACTCCAGCGAGCCCAGCGAGCCTCTCCTACACTCTGCTATGTTCTCTCCTCTCTTCCAAGCTGCAGACACATGTTGTTGCTAGCCTTGTGACTATTCTGTCTGTATATCATTGGAGCTGGTCAGCAATTTAAAGTTCATCCTCCTCCTGTCTTACACTTTTAGTCAAGGATAGTGACCTCAAGCACACTTGGACATGGCCTCTGTGTGTGTGTGTGTGTGTGTGTGTGTGTGTGTGTGTGTGTTTGCATGCGCGTGCAGGTGCATGTGAACTTTGTGTGTGTGTGTGTGTGTGTGTGTGTGTATGTGTATGTGTAGTGTACATGTGTACATGCATATGTGTGCAGAGGCCAGAGGTCACCCTCACGTGTTCCTCAGGAACCACTCGTCTTTGTGGCAGTATCACCCATTACCCGGGCATTACCAAGTAGTTTAGGCTGGATGGGCAGCAGCTCCCATGGATCTGCCCATCTCTGCCTCCCCAGCGCTGGCAAGACAAACATGCCCTAATACCTCTAGTCTTTCTATGTGGGTTCTCAGGAGCAAATTGAAGTCTGTGCGTGTGTAGAGAACATTTTGTTGACTGTGCTTTCTCTTCAGCTCCATACTAGCGTATTTTTGTAAGAAACACTAGTGTGACCTCAGAAGAAAGCAGTGTGGAGTCCCGCCTGTGTCATCTTGTATGCACAAGTGGAATGTGGATTTTTCTCTGGGAATCAATGGCCTTTTGGAGTGTCATCCACCTCCCGGGATCAAATGCTCAGTCCGGTCTGCTTCTGTTACTGGAGCCCAGCCTCTTTCACCAGATGACTCTGACCTTTGGTCAGTGTGGCTTGCCTTTCTTCTACTCTGGATACATGGGCAGCGGCTCTTAGTTGGGGACTATCCTGTACTTAAATATTAAAGTAAAGTGGTGGGCATAGAAAACATGATAAGGGAGGTGAGTTACTTCTAAGCTCCAAATTGTGCAGAGTGAAAAGCATTCACTAGGGTACAAAATAAATCATGAAGACGATCGGATGAGTTAAGTGGAATTGGTCATCCCTGCCAATAATTGCCTAGTCTAGTGGTGAAGAGATGAGAATTAAGCAGTACGCCATGTTGGTGAAAATCGATGCCCACAATTACAGTGGTACAGGAAACACTACACTAAGTACCACACTCTTAGTGATCAAAGTGACTTTGAAGTCATTGATAGCTTGCCAGAACAGACTAGAATAAAGTTAGCTATGCAAGTTTCAAGTACAATAAGACCCAGGAAGAGTTGTTTATAGAAAAATGAAGAATATGGCCACCTAGTGTGCAGAGGCATTCAGGGAGCATACACTACCCATATCAAGGCTTGGGGTTTTGTGAAAGCATCTCCTTTAAACTAGCACTTTGTACCTTAGAGGAAGGGAGGGTGGGAAAGAGGGAGGGGAGGGAGATCAAAATATCCTTTAAAACAAGCAGCCAAACTCAAAAAACAAAGACAGACAAATCCATAAAAGCAAACTGCTATAAATTCACACAAAAAAATTAATTAATTGTATGGGAGGATATTTGCAAGGGTGTTTTAAGGGCTATAGAATAAAAAGGATCTTTCATTTAACAGATGCTTAGGTGGACTTAGTTTTAAGTGCTTTGCTGATGCTAATTTTTGTGTAGAACAGATATATTGTTTCCTTTCTTTACAAGCAAGGAGAAAGACTTGCAGAAAATAATTATTAACCTGGGTCTATCATCATAAAGGAGCCAGAGTATGGTGTCTTGAATAAGATAGCCCTGTTGCAGGGTATGAGTTAAAGATGTGTTATCATCTGTTTATGCTGTGGAACATCTGTTGAATGATGCAAAGATGTGTTGCATTCCTTTATGTTTTTAAAGTAATAATAAGTTTTTGTGCGTGTTTATCTGGGAGATTGGTGGTGGGCCCCAAAAGAGTAAAAGATTTTAAAAAGTAACCATCTTTATGGCGTCCATAGGCTCTTAATATTTGAATGCTTGGTCATCAGGGAGTGGCACTATTTGAAGGATTAGGGGTGTGGTCTTGTTAGAGAAAGCATGTCGCTGGGGCTGGGCTTTGAGGTTTCAAAAGCTCAAGCCAAGCTCAATGTCTCACTCTTCCTGTTGCTTACATAAAGATCTGGATGTAGAACTCTTAACTGCTTCTACAGCTCTATGTCTGCCTGTGTGCCACATGTTCCCCACCATGATGATAATGGACTAAGTCTCCAAAACTGTAAGAAGCCCAAATTAAACGCTTTCTCTTATAAGAGCTGTCATTGTGATGGTGTCTCTTCATAGCAATAGAACAGTGACTAAGACAGAAGTAGGTACCAGGGAGTTGGGGTATTGTTGTGACAGGCCTGATCATGATGCTTGTTGGCAGAATGTGGACTTTGGATTAGGAATGCAGTTGGACACTTTAAGTAGGGCTTAGTGGGCCACACTAGTAGGAGTGTGGAAGACAATGTTGCTGAGAGCAATGTGTAGTTTTTTTTTTAAATTCTTTTCTCTTTGCTCTTTTGGGGGCCCACCACCAAGCTCTCAGATAATCACATGGAGGCTTATTCTTTCTCATGAATGCCTGGCCATAGCTTGATTTATTTATAGTCAGCTTTGCTTAAATTATCTGTCTATCTTTTTCCTCTGGGTTTTTATTTTTCTCTAGTCTATATACCTTTATTTACTTCTTACTCTGTTGCTTGCTGAATAGCTGGGTGGCTGTCCCCTGATGTCCTCCTTCTATTTATTCTCTCTGCCTGCCAGCCCTGCCTATTCTTTCTTACTGCTGAGCTATTGGCTGTTCAGCTTTTTATTAGACCAATCAGGTGTTTTAGACAGGCAAAGTAACACAGCTTCACAGAGCTAAAGAAATGCAACATAAAAGTAAGCAACACATCTTTACATCATTAGATGTTCCACAGCAAAAACAAATGCAAAACATCTTAAAATAATATTCCACAAAGCAATGCATATTATAATGGTCCAGCTCAAGAGGTTTCAGATGGGAAAAAATTAGTGGGTGGTCTCTCTTCTTGTGATATTTTGGTGATGAATGTGGCACCTGAGGATAAATGGAAGAGTTTTGGATTAATGGTGTTGGCAGAGGAGATTTCAAGACACCCTCGTATTCACTGTGTCTCATGGTTGTTACTGACCATTCTTAAGTAGATCTATAAAGAAAAGGAGCAAACTGAGCAAGAAAGAATACAAAATGTACAGTTTGAGGAGAAAAGGAGCACCAAGAAGTGTAATGGAGCTAAATCCAGTACTTAAAGAGATAAAAAGTTTAAAGAAAAGCCCAATGCTAAATGGAATAAAGGGAGTGGTGACTTCAGAGCAAGACCCTACCCAACTAAGCTTCCAACTTGTAAAAAGGAATTAAATGAAAATTAAAGGAATTAAATGAAGGAAATCGTCTAAAATAGAAAACTGATGAAAATGTATTTGAATGAGATGAAGTTGTGAAGGTGAATCCTGGATTGTGTTGGAGATGCCAGAGCCATAGAATACCTTCCAAGGAAAGCTGCTAACAGGGAGTAGAACCAGCCCAAGAGAAAGGTGCATTACAGTGAGCAAAGTTAGAAGGAGGTGAAGGTCCAAAGAGCTTTTTGACATCAGACATGGAGATAACAGAGTGTAGAGTTTGCTCAACTTGTTTCCAGTCTTGCTCTGGTCCAGTATTTCCTCACTATGCTCCCTCTCCTCCATTTTGGAATGATAATGTATATCCTCTGCTGTTATATGTTGAAAGTATGTGATCTTCTTGGTTTTGATGTGTGAGGTTACAGATTGCCATGAGTGTCAGAAGAAACTTTGAGTGTTGAGACTGGGATCAACTATGGGAACTTTTACAGTTGGACTGAATATGGTTTTATATTATGGCATGGCTACATGTAGAGGCAAGATGTCTTGTGCACACAGATAAGCTCTGGAGTGTTGCCCGCACTTTTCTGTGAATACCCAGACCTCGGAACAGGCGCACGCTTTCCCGAACCAAGTCCACGAGAATGGATTAATATCCTAAGGGTTGAAACACACAGACACAAGGAGACCTGCTCATTCACCAAAGAGTAAATGGCAACTTTATTAAACTCAAGTCGGGTATATATACTAGGGGGCAAGGGGGCAAAAGGGCAGAGCCCCCTCCCATCAGGAGCAGTGGAAGAGGATGACAGGTGCCCGGCGCCCAAGGCCAGAAGCAGTTGCGGGAGGCAGGTGTGGCAGGCATATAGGGCCTGCGGCTGGAACCTTGATTACAGGTGGAATTACCATAACAAAAGAGGGCCAAGTTCTTTCTAAGCTAAACCCTCAGGCCGGCCAGCGCAAGTGCAGAAGAGCCTGGGAGCCAGAGGTCAAACGGCCCTGCAAATCGTCAGGAACAAAAGGGGGAAAGACCTGTGTACCTACACTGGAGAAGCCAGGAAGGTTACACACACAGCTCACCTCTTCAGTGGAGTAGGATGTAGCTGATCTTCCTGGAATGCCTGGAATGGTGTAGTTTTACAACCTGGTGATCCTTTATCGTCTGATGAGACAGGCTCTGCCCATATCATCCTGAATTTATGGTTTTACTTATCCTAGACCCTTCTCCCTAAATCTTGAGCATTGCTTTTAGACCATAAAACCCATTCTTATGAGTGATATCACAAAAACCTTTGGACCAGGCCAGTCCTGACTTCCACAGGCATTCTGTTTACTTGGGTTATTCTCCCTAGACCCTTATCTTGAGCATGTGTGCTTTGCTGAGAATGTCAATGCAAACATTTCTTAAGCGTTGTTGCACTCATGGGGATGAGTTAATTGTTATCTGAATACTTTTTTTCTCAAAATTGTGGTTGTACTTAAATATGGCTAAAATGATCTGGGCCAGGCTCTAGAGTCCAGATCCAGTGCTGGCTACAATAAAATTGGGCTGAGCTGAGTTTCATTCTTACCTCACTCTGATCCTTTATCCCTGCCTGCTGTAAAGCCTGCAGGGGAGCTCTCACAGCTACAGGTCTATGGGGGCCAGAGAGTGGGATGTGGTAAGTTGAATAAGAACAACCCCAAAGTCTCATTGTTTGATTGCTTAGTCATCAGGGAGTAGTGGTTCTTGAGAAGGATTAAGAGGTGTGTCCTTGTTAGAGCAGGTATGGCCTTGTTGGAGGAAGTGTGTCACCAGAAACTGTAAACAAGCCCCAATTAAATGCTTTCTCTGGTAAGAGTTGCCTTGGTAATGGGGTCTCCTTATGACAATAGAACCCTGACTTAGACATAGAGCTTGGACTCCAGCCCACACACTGTGTCTCTGTTACATTAAGTCAACCAAACAGAGATTGGTGCTAAAGGGAAAGTGGCTGCAGTCAGTTCCTCCTTCCCTTCTTGCCCTTCTCCTAGACAGCGTCTGGCTGCAGGGACTCATCCATGTTTACAGGAGCCTATTGTGAATGTGCCTTTGTGGGTACAATAGAGTCTGCCTGCTCTGTGGAATGCGTTTTACAGCATGATTACTTTTCCCATTCAGTTTGTTCACTGATATTAAATTGGTTGGGGAGCCAGTGTCTTCACTAAAACACTAACTGAGAAGCTTTTATTTTCTTCTTTGAAGAGGATCACTTGTTTTGGTGCTTGTGTTATTGGCCATTACTTAATTGAACAAAGGGTGACCAATGAATTCATTTTTCTGTGCTCATAGGCTCACTTGGCAAGTTGTTGCTGTTGTTGTTGTTGCTATTTTTAAGACAGGAAAAAAATTATTTCAGCTCACAACTTCAGAGGGTTCGGTCCGTGGTCATTTGGTCCCGTGCACTTTGGTGGTATGTGGTGGAGGAGGTACTTCTGGTTGGGCAGGGAGCAGAGAAGGCAGCAATTGGATCTTCAGTGTTGATGTTAAAGTAACCACCCTGCTAGGTAAAACAGAACAAGAACGAAAGAGACAGCCTGTATCCTAAGGTTTCCAGTCGGGGGAGACTGCAGTAGAGCTAAGATTGCCTGCCAGAGATATAGCTGGAACACGGGGCATGGGAGAGAGCTGCTAACCCAAGCTAGGTTCAGAGAGGCTTCCTGCAGGAAGGGACGTTGTCTGTATACAGGGACACACACACACACACACACACACACACACACACACACACACACACACACACACCAGGCACAAGGAACAGAAAAGCAGAGCCAGAGAAGATGTCAAATAGTCCAGAAGACTGGGAAAGTCATATATCCCCAGTGTCTGGTGGTTCTTGGTGACCTGGTGGCTGTCTGAGGCCAGGAGGAGTCACTGTAAGAGCTGGAGGGATCCCAGGAGAAGAGCCAGTGTGGAAGAAAGACCTGTCAATGTGATGTGGGCAGGGTGTCTGTCCCATGGCTAGGATGAGGCCCTGAGGTGGGTACTCCTCCCGTGCACAAGCTCAGAGACACAGAGCACAGGAGCAAAGATGTTAAGATGTGGTAGAAAGAGGAAACCAGGAGGGGGCTGAAGGGATCAGTGTGTGGGGGAAGGGCTGACGAGCTGCAGAGGCCCAGGACCAGGAAAATTCAGAAGGGGGACACAGGAGGACCCTGGGACAAGGTGGGCAAGGGAAGCCAAACACATGTGCTGCTTGGTAGGATGTCACAGCAGAACTGGCAGAGCCTGAGACAGTAACAACGACAGCTGTATGTATGGATTGTTTATGATGAGCCGGGCGTGTTCTGAGCCTTACTTACATCAGTACCTTATCAGTCCTTGCGGGCAGGAACTACCCTCTCTGTGTGTGCTGTGTTCCCGGGAGTGCATGCTCAGGGACTTGGGTATGTGGAGGTCAGAGGTCGTCACCAAGTGCCTTCCTCAACTGTTCTCCACCCTCTAAAGACGTTGTTTGTGGGTGTATGATGTGTGCATATGGGCACATGCACCACAGCCAGTATGCAGAGGTCAAAGGGCAGCTCTGTAGGGCCAGTTCTCTCCTCCGGCCTTTACGTGGGTTCTGGAAATTGGGCTCAGGTTGTCAGCCTTATGCGGCAAGCACCTTTACTTGCGGATCCACTTTGCTGGCCCTCTGGGTTGTGTTTTGAGACAGGGTCTCTCTCTCTGGATCTTACTGCCTTGCCTAGGCTGCCGGGCAGTGATCCAGGGATCCAGCTGTCTCCAGTTCCTGAGGGCTGGAATGGCGGGTGCCTGCTACCCCCGCTGGCTTTTTATGTGCGTTAAGGATCTGCCCTCCAGTCCTCATGCCTGTGCGGCAGGCACTTTATTGACTGAGTCATTTCATCAGCCCCAGTGGATGCTGTCCTTAGTCCCATCTTACAGACAAGGAAACCGAGGGGTAAGTGAGGGACTAGAGTCTGACTAGAATGGAGGAATTTGTCCGACCAGGAGGCTGGAGAGGTAGGAGCCTGCTGGGTGTTTTTGAAGTTTGTGGGGTGGCGTGAGTTTTGGGGGCAGCAGGATGGAGGAAAAATAGGGGACTTGGGGGCTTGTCTGCTGTCTGGCCTGCAATTATCGCTACATGGCATGGTGAGAAAGTTTGCCCGGGATCCCAGAATTCTGGAGATGTAGGCAGGAGGAGTGTGAATTTGAGACTAGCCTAGACTGAACAGTGAGATACCATCTCAAAAACATGGAACTTTTCCGGGAAACCGGCTGCACACTTCCTCACAGTGACATGCATGCGGCAGTTCATTTTCATTGTCTTTGTCTTCTCTCCCCCTAATCTCTGGATTCTAACTCATTGAAAGTTTCATTTATTTATTTGTTCCTCTACCTCATCATTTACTGGTGTGATGGCTAAAAAGACTCTATGTTTACCATCCATCTTGGTACCCACTACCTGTTTGTCTCTGACTCTGGTCCCCGAAAGACAAATTCCCAGTAACCCTGACTCAATGACCCACACCCAGAGATGTATGGCCGTGACCATTTACTTGTTATGTAGTGGCTGGCTGCTTTCTGACTCTATAACCTGCTTATGCAGACACTCAGGTTGCCTGACTACCTAATCTTGGCAAAGTAAAACAGCTTTTGGCTTGCTTGAGTGAATACGCAAAGTGTTTTTGTGTTTGTCGCCTTTAAAAACCCTTCCCTCACCCCACTTCTCTTGGCAACCTTGTTTGGCCCAGGATTGTTATCCTGCTAGCAGTAATCAACAAATCCTTTAATTATAATTGGATTGAGCCTATGGTCTTCTCCCAGGGGTCAGGAACTCCCAACCACTGGATGATATGGCAGGGCAGATGAACTCGGGGCTCAGCACCTGGTTTCTGTACACTCTGGGGTCTAGAAAGAAATGGAGGGTTTTTTTTTTTTCTCTGCCACAGCTCCTAAGGCAGAGGCTGCAAGGGAACTAATGCATGCAAGCGGGAGCTGGAGCTTTTTGGCCAGAAACCCTCCGTGGTTTGTGAAGGACTGAACTGAGATTAAGTCTTGATGGTGCTAAAATGAACTTCCACCCAAGCGCAAGTAACCTAAAGACACTAACTTTTAATGTCAACCCCAACTCTGTTGTCCTCTGAGGAAAGGGTCCAGTCTGTTCTTCTTCTCTGAAGGGTCCCTTTCTTGTTTGTGTGCCACTTACTGTCATTGTTATTTATTTATTTATTTTGTAACATTTCTTCTAGATTTTGTTTTGGATTCTGGCCATACTGAGTGGACTGTCGTCGCTGAGGCTCCCGGAAACCCTCAACAAACCCTTGGCATCTACCTGGGAGACAACTGAACAACAGGCGCCAGAAAACAAGGCCGACGCAGACGAAGCCCCTCCCACAGCCGAGAAGGGCGGTTCAGACGAAGCCCCTCCCACAGCCGAGAAGGGCGGTTCAGATGAAGCCCCTCCCACAGCCGAGAAGGGTGGTTCAGACGAAGCCCCGCCCACAACTGAGACCCCTGCAAAGGAAAACAGGAAAGTGATGATCCACCCAAAGCTGAGAAGCCTGCGACGGAAAAGACGGAAGTGATTAATCTGGGGGATCCTGATGGTGATCAATAAGTCTTACATGGCACCCAGCACTTGGGATGTTGACGTCTGCGACTTTCTGTTAGAGAGGTCCTGGGTATCTGCATAAAATATGTTGTGAGAAAGTTTGAAACAATTGTTTTGTAAAAGTCAGTGAAATATAAACCGGTATGAGAATTCTAGTTCTTTGAAGCCGTGTTGCTTTTTTGTTCTTCATTGACTTTTCTTTGCGTTGGTTTCCCTACCCACCTCCTGCCGTCACACAGGTTTGAGAGATGATGGTGTGGGCATCTCCATGGGTACCAGTGCTCCTGAACCCAAGGACCACCAGCTAGGAAGGGGGTACGTGAGAAGTTTTCTTTCTTCTTCTTGCTCCATCCTCACCTCTTTTGTCTTCTTTCTTTTCTTTTTGTTTTTTTAAGAACAGAGTATCACACTGCAACCCAGACTGGTTCCAAGCTCACGGCAATTGTCTTGCCTTGCCTCTTGAGTGCTGGCATTTTGAGTATGACATGCCACACACCAGGCTTTATGAGTTGTTTTATTTAGAAAACAAAACCCTTTAAATTCTGATATTCTTTCCTTGTTTGTGATTCTCCCTCACAAAAGCCTTGTTAAGGGATGCTTCCCTTCATAATGAAACCATAAGAAGCCAGAATGACAAAAGGATGATTGCTTTCCAGCACACTTGAAGGTGCAAACCAGTATGCTTAGGTTTGGGCCAGTTATATCTGCCAGGGCCCAGGATTTTTTAGTCCAATATTTTAGTTTTCTTCCCAGAGTTACAACATTTTCTCTGGAGGTTTATTTGACAGTATGGAGAAATGGCGGTGCGCACACGTACGCATTGTGTAGTTAGCCCAGCATTCGGGGAGATTGACTTTAGGGTCCATTTGGCTCTGTTGCCAATATTAGCTCGTGTGTCTTCCTGTTCTCTTAAGAGATCATATATGGGGGCTGGAGAGATGACTTAGGAGTTAAAAGAACTTAGTGCTCTCGCAGAAGACCTGGGTTTGGTTCCCAGCACTCACAATGCTGCTAACAACCATCTGGAACTCAGGATCCAGGTGACCCAGTACTCTCTTCCCATCTCCCTGGGCACAGCATGCAAGTGGTGTGTGGACAGATGTGGAGGCCAAACAGCCATACACATAAAATAAAGATCAATAAATCTTAAAAAGATTTCTCATTATAATATAACTTTTAGTTTATTTTTTAATTTTTATTTACTAAAAATTGTCTCTTCAGCCTCACTTTATTCTAAGGTCTGTTAAAATTAGCTTAACATCTTGGACATTGCAATTACTAATGATTTTGTAACCTTATCTGTGAATGCATTTCCGATTTACCAAGCATTTCTCTTGGGCGTGGCTGTTTTTCTGATTATGACTTCATCATAAGTTTACTCTTTGTTTGTATCACCTTGTGTTTGAGAACTGATGAAGGACTGTGTATGCAGAGCTAAGTCTGAGAATCAACTATGTGGAATTATAAGGAATTGCTAAGGGAAATAAAGGGGCCATTTGACCTGAATTATTTAAACATTTTATATTAATCCAGTTCCTGGGATAACCGTTTAGTTCCTCATCTGGACTTTACCCTTGTAAAATAAAAGGTGAAACAAAACAGGCCGTCTCTCCTCTTATTAAATAAGCAAAATGAAACAAACGGGACATGAAGAGAGAGGAACGTCCCAGGGTTTCCACTGCTATGATAAAAAACGCCGTGGTCTGAAGTCACCTGGGAAGAAAGTGTTTGTTTCAGAAGAAAGCGTTTGTTTCAGCTTACAGTTCCCATCACTGAGGGAAGTCAGGACAGATGCTCAAGCAAGGCAGGAACTGGGAGGCAGGAGCTGATGCAGGGCCCATGGAGGCTGCTGCTTCCTGAAGGCCTCGTTTTCACTCAGCCTCTGCTGGAAAGACCTCATTTCCACCTGTAATTTACATTCTGGGGACTTTGGATTCCAACACAGGGATTAGGGGCTTTTTTTTTTTTTAATATTTTATTGCATCATGTCTCAGTCAGCCTGGGCTGCAATATAAAATGTAAACTGGCTGGCTGAACCATCAGTGAGTTATTTATCACTGTTCTGGAAGGTACAAAGCCCGAGATGAAGATGCTGACAGAGCATGCGTTATGAAGTCTCCTTCCGTATCCTACAGATGAATGACATTTCGCTGTGTACTCACTGGAGAATGTGAGAGCCACCACTATCTCATTTTACAAAGTGTCCATACTCATGACCTCATGAACCCCAGTAACCCACCATGTTCCCAGTCACGTTGGGAGTTAGGACTTTGGCAATGCATTCTAAGGGACACATTTATTCAGGCCAGGGCATCATCTGTTTTCTGCACCAACCAGTATCTAGTCCAGATGATGCAAAGCAACCTGGAAACCATTGAAGATCTTTTCAAGGGTTGAACACATGAACCAGTTACAAAGTGCAGAGAGGACTGACAGAATACACTGGAGTAGGAAATGTTGCCTGGAGACCAAGAAAGCTACTCACACTTGGGCTGGAGCCTGCTAGCCTGTTGTGCTTTTACTGCCAATGCTGGAAACGCACTTCTGTCGCTGACCTGGGGCCCAGAGGCCCACACCGCCCTGCTGCTAATGAAGCTGCAATCATGATTTCAGCTTGAATTAAGCTGAAGTTTTCAGATTAATTTAGGGAAAATGGAATCTTTGTTCTGCCTTTAATTCTTCTATTAACGATGTGTTCTCTCTGAGTCTTAGGGTTGCTATTACTGTGATGAAATACCATGACTAAAGACACGATGGGGAGGAAAGGGTTTATTTGGCTTATGTTTCTGTATCACTGTTGTTCATCAAAGAAAGTCAGGACAGGGCAAGAACCTGAGGCAGAAGCTGATGCAGAGGCTGTGGAGGTGCTGTTCACTGGCTTGCTTCCCATGGCTTGCTCAGGCTCCTTCCTTCCTTCCTTCCTTCCTTCCTTCCTTCCTTCCTTCCTTCCTTCCTTCCTCCCTCCCTCCCTCCCTCCCTCCCTCCCTCCCTCCCTCCCTTCCTTCCTTCCTCCCTCCCTTTCCTTCCTTCTGTCTTTCTGTCTTGTTTTTCGAGACAAGGTTTCTCTGTCAGAAGAAAAGTCCAAAGACAGCTTTGGAGCCTGTCCTGGAACTTGTTCTGTAGACCAGGCTGGCCTCGAACTCACAGAGATCCACCTGCCTCTGCCTCTGGAGAGCTGGGATTAAAGGTGTGCACCACTACTGCCCACTCAGGCCGGTTTCTCATAGAACCTAGGACCACTTGCCCTGATGGTCCTAGGTTAGATGAGAAATAGATGGCACCATCCCCAGTGAGCTGGGCCCTCCCTCATCAATCGCTGTGTTAATCACTAATTAATAAAATGCCCTACACTTTGACCCTACAGAAGTACTTTCTCATTTGTGGTTCCCTCCTTTCAGATGACTCTAGCTTGGGTCACACTGTTTTCATGGGTTATCCTTTAATGTCTCTTATGAAACACAATTTCATTCAAAAAGGTCTTGCACATTTTTTGGTAATATATGCTATATGAAATTCATATATGTATGTGAATGATATATTATTGCGTGAGAATGTCATACATACTTAGGCTATGATTTGATCAGATCCACCCATGGCCCCTAACTCTTCCCCTATGCCCTGCCCAGTTTTCCTTCTCGACTTCACTTCTTTTATTAGGTCCACTGCGTTTGCACAGAGCTCCTGGCCTGTGGGTATGCGCATGGGCATAGGACCACCTACATTCCTGAGGAAAGTGTGCTCTCCCTCCCACTGCAACAACTGCCCACAGCTCCTCAGCAAGGGGCGGAGCTTCTAAGGCTTCTCTCCCATCCATGCTGGGAGTTTTGGGCCATTGGATCTTGTGCAAATCTCTGTATGCAGTGACAGTCATTTGAGATTGTGTTTGCAAAGGCCCTGTGGCCATGCCCAGAAAATACTGCTTATCAGCAGACATCCACTACCTCTGGGCTCTTACGATCTTTCTTCACTCTTAGGATGAGCCCTAAGCCTTGTGTGTGTGTGTGTGTGTGTGTGTGTGTGTGTGTGTGAAATGTGATATACATGTCCCATCTGGGGCTGAGCACTTTCTAGCCCCCTTTTCTCTGCATGCTCAGCAGTTGTGAATATTTTTATTAATTGCCATACACTGCAAAGAGAAGTATCACTGGTAAGGGCTGAGCGATGTACTAGTCTATGACTATAAAGATAAGAACACAGGGAGCAGTTTAATACCGTTCCCATTAGTAGACTAACAGTAGGAGGTTGTCTCCTAGGGTCGAGGATCTACACAGCCATGGGTTCTTGGCCCGGTTAACTGTAGTAGGCATAAGTTCCATCTTGTGTAATGGCATATCCTTCCAGGCCAGTGTCATTGTAGCTTGTGGGGTTCACAGCTGGGTAAGACTATTGGGTATTTTCCTCCCCCAGTGGTGAGCACAGCCCCCTCCAGCAACAAGAAAGCAGGGCAGTGGGGATGAAGCTTCCAAGTTGGTACCAGCTTAATTTCTCCATTTTCTATGACTCAGTTATGTGGAGTCTTTAGCAACAGAGCCTTACCATAAAGTTCTGAAGGGCACTGAAGAGCAATGGTCACAGCCTATAATGTTTGAAGTGATACATGAGGCCCTATTGATCAACAGTTCAAAAAGATGGAAGCCCCCTACAGCAAGCAGATTAGAGGGCTCTGCCCCTTGGCTGTGCAAGACAGTGGAACTGGCCCTGGTGGTGTGAGCGTGAATCAGACCGAGGGCCTGAGAAGAGACCTGACTGGGCAACTTGTGACAGGCTATCTTGCTGCAGGCTGCGATGGTGGACTGGCTGTGGCAGTACTGGAGAGGGTGCCCGGTGTGTGTGTGTGTGTGTGTGTGTGTGTGTGTGTGTGTGTGTGTGTGTAAACCTGTGGGGGGTAAGGGTAGGGAGTGTAGACAATAGAGGGAAGCTGATAGGCAGACCAGTCCAGCTGACATCCAGGCCCAGGACCAGGGCTGTGGGTTGGCCCACCCCAACATCCACCTCATCTGTGTGAGCCATTGGAGCAGGACAGGGGTGGGAACCTTTAGATCCAGGTCTGTGGAGTCTCCTTGACACAGGAGATCCAGGGGTCTGAGGAGCCAGGGCTGTGGGGTCTCCATGACACGAGAGATCTAGGGCCCAGGGAGCCAGGCGAGAGCTCATT